TTTCCTACCGCTTTTGTTCTGGTCCCCCAAGTAAGAAAGGTTTTTCATTTTCTAAAATAGAACTGCGGATTACCAGTAATCATCAGCACCAGACTGCCAGTACTCATCACATCATAAATAAAAAATAAATTATTTAAAAAATAATAATAATCAATTAGTAGTAAAATTTTGTTAATTATTTAAATAATACATAAATTATTTAAAAAATAATAAATATGATCTATTTTAATAATTACATATTTTATAATATTTTTTAAAATTTAATTAATAATTAATAATATTTATCATATTTTATTTGTAATATTTTTAAAAAATAAAATAGATAAATATTAACTTCAAATATCATTTAAAGAGAATAAATGGGCATGCAATTTGGTCCAATAGCTTTTCGTGAGGCCTAGATGTCAACCCTTCACAATATTCAACTTTCTCCTGCAAAGTTAGGGAGCAAACTTTACGGAACATGTGACCAACAAAAGATCACAAAAGATCTCTTCCCAGTTTTTCTTCTTTGCATCAAAGATTCAAACCATTTTTCCTTCTCTTATTATTATTTTTTTTCCTGTAATTTCACTGCAAATAGATACCTGTCAGTCACATGTTTACTTCTAAAGATTTAATTATGGACTGCAGAAAAAGAAACGGAGACAAAGACGATAGCATCAACCAAAGTGTCCAGAACGGATTAGTCTTAAAAGTACATGAAAATTTACTCAAATAGCTTGATCGTAAATAAAATAAAGGGTTAGTACTTGTCTGTTTTACTTTTTAAAAATAAAAAAATATATATTTTAAAATTACGTACCACAAATAATGACAAAAAATACTTTAATTTATATTTTAAAAATAAGGTATTTAAATATTTTTCAATGAAAATTTATTGAAACAATATAATTTTAAGATAATTTTTCTCTTCATCGTAACTTGGATAGGTATTATTCTCATAAAATAATAATAATAATCAACCTAAAGCTTGCTCTTTTTTTTTTTTTTCATCATTTTGTATTTGGGCCCTAGATTTAGTGGGCTAATTGGATCAAAATATGTCTTCACTTCTGAGGAAATCCCTACTGGCCTCAGCAGAGATTGATCCAAGGCTCTGTCCAGAATCTTCAGAGCTGTAAAAGGCCCAGCATGAGCCCATCAGCTACTGTCATCAACCATCAAGCCCTCTTGGCTTGGTCCCTAGCAACGCTAAGGCCTAATAAGGAGGAGGAGGAGGGACTAGATACTAGACAGACAGGTAGGCTGTGTCTTAATTGCTTCAATAATTTCGTCCAGGATCACAGACCCACAGTTGAGGCATTACTGCATCATTGCATTCGTACACTGCCATGGAACAGTGGTTTTTTTTCTCTGTTCTTTACATTGCATTTTGCCTTAACTCTTTGCTTGTTAGATTCTGGAGAGAATGTGTGAGTCTTTTCTTGCTTTATTTATTACTCATCTTTCTCATCAAGCATTCTGCTTTTTCTTGCCTAAAATAAGCTAAAAAGCGTAAGACTTTTTCTGAAAAATGGTTCTGAGCCTGAAAGGGTCTGCCATGAACAGGAGTTTAAGCAGAGAGAATCCAGATATTTAGATTGTGATGATTGCAGAGAAGCAGATAATGAGGGGTAGCGAGGAGGACAATGGAGCTCAGAGGGATGGGCCCTTTAAAGCCTGCAACAGTAATGAGTACCACAGTGCCACTGCACCAAGGAGTAATGTGTTTCCCCTTGTTTTTACTCTTTTGTGGCTTTTCTTTCTCTCTCTCTATCTTAATGAATGGGTCCATTCAAATTCATCCCCATCTCTCTGGTCGATTGTTTATGTTTTCCATTCTTTTGGGCTTTTATTTTTATGTTCACCACCTCTGCCTGTTTGTGTTTTTGAGCTTTAAATCTTTTGATGAATCTCAGTTTCTTGGGTTTTGGGTTCTTGGAAAAAATCCCACTTTTCTGTTCATGCAAATAAATTAACCCACTTTATTTTCTGCGTTAGGCACTTCCTTCTTTTCTTTTCTTTTTTTTTTTTTTTTTGCCGTTTCATTTATTTTGTCCTGTGCAAGTTGGGGATAATGCAGTAGTGCTGTTAGCTTTTTTTTCACCATGTTCTTTTTGTTAAAGAAGGAAGTAACTTTTTTACCACTGTTTTCTGGCTTTTTTGACAGTATACTTTTTTATGGAGAAACAAAAAGAACCAATGATTTCATGTGATCTTTGCATTGGATTGGAATAGCTTGCTTTGGGTCTCTGGAGAAAGCCTACGTGCAGGGTCATACCAACCCACTTGATATTTTGAAAAGGGTGAAAGTTTTTTTCACTTATCTAATCAGTGGAAACTGGGAAAATCCTATGAATCTGCCTGAAATTCTTGACTCTTGTTTTTTGCGTTCACAAGGTTTGTTGAAGAAAACGTCCCATTCTCAGCGGTTTGTCCCTTGATAGATAATAGATGAATGCAAGGTTGGTCATCTCCCTTTTTTTGTAGTTAATTAATGGAAGGTTGCCCCAGCATCTATGATTCCTATTTCTTATTCTTGTTTTAATTCCATGTAAGTATCCGTCTTAAACATCTTCCTTTTCTTTAGTAGCTATATTTATGTGCCATTGATCATCTTGACTTAGTATGAACTTCTGTTTCTTAAGGCTGTTAATGAATGATTTAGCTGAGAACTGTATGTGCTGCCGCCTTTGATTATATGCAGTTGTGTAAGTCTCAGTTGTTGGTTTCTCTGACATTTGCTTTTGTGGTAGTGGGGGAATATGAATGTCCTCCACAGTCTAGAAATAATTGTATCATAATTCTCTCTGCAGTTCTTTACAATTCAAGACATTGAATATATAATTTATGATCTCAAATTATTAGGTGTTGCAATGGTATTTGTAAGTTTGTTCAGCTCTTTCTTTTAGAACCACGTATGAAGCATTTTTCTTAACATATTTTCATTTTCTGATTTCATCAATGATGGGTTTTGCAGGTCAATGGACTTCATGATTGATGATTTGGTGATCAATATGATGTGTCTACCGCAAGCAAATTAGAGGGCTTAATCTCCTTTCTTCCCTGGATCTTGGCAAAGGAGCTCCGAATAGAGTTCAACTCAAGCAGATTTTTCTGAGACAATACTGGCTTTACGGGCAATTGTGGACTAGGAACCTTGTATGAGGAGCTCTTTATGCTCAGATGCATGTAGCCTCCTGGCCCTCTAGTATGATGGAGAATGATATGCTTAGCCTTCCACAAACCGTTGCAAGTCGAAATGCAGTTGTTTTTGACGGAATGCCATCTCAGATGATGTCATACTCAGTAGCTGAATCCAACGCTAATAACCTTAACCACCAAGACCAGATGCTGTCTGGATTTCCTGTGCTTTCAACATTGCAAGGAGAACATGTCATGGATCTCCATGGCAATGTTCACATCATTGATCGAGCGAGGCTCCTTGATTCTAACTCATCGGTGACATCTCTTGGGAGGAACCTTGAGAGAGATAATTCACTTGGCAGTTCACGATCAACACATAATGTTGAGTTCCAAGAGCAATTCATGGGTGGAATGCCTATCTCTTCTTCAATTGCCTCCTTTTCAGGTGCAAGGAGTGGTCTCCAAGAAAACCTAAACGATTCAATCCACCCCTTGAATTTTAGGACTTCAAATGGATGCTCTACTGATATAAATTCTTCACCAGTCACTCCTATGAACTGTGGGTTTGCTGAGGCATCCGGTAATATGAATGAGAAGTGGGGTTTTGAGAAGTCCCCTGCTCTTCTAGAGCTTGGTGGAAAAACTCTTGTGAGAACAGCTTTTCAACCATATCCTTCCATGGTATGTATAGGTCCAAATGGTTGGATATCATCAAATGGAGCAAATGGAAACATCGCTTATTCCTATGGTTCCTCCAAAACTAGTAGTGAGCTTTCACTAAGTCTTGTTACATCTGATCCTGCTGTTATTACTAAGACAAATGTCCCTGATCAATCCTTCAAGATAAACTGTTCTGATGCAACCCAACATTGCTTAAATGGAACAAGGTTGGCTGTCGATTATACTTCTTCCAACTGGAAGGAGCCTTCCATGAGTTATGGTTCCTTTAGACAGGAACAAGTCTCCCATTTAATATCAGGGTCAAGATATCTTCACGCCATTCAGGAAATACTTGTTCAAATTGCAAGCTATTCTCATGGAAATCTAGACCAGATGAGTTATTCAACTGGGGTCAGAACCAGGGCAAATCAGCCATTCTCATCAGGTCACCCTGCTGTGAGAGGAATGTCAATTATGGATTTTGATGAACTTCATGACTTGGACGGTAATTTTGAGGTTCAATTGGAGCCAGCATTTGAAAAAGGGGCAGCTGAAGCTAGGAAAACCCAACTATTAACCTTACTTCAAGAGGTATGTTTGATCAATGCTGCTAATAAATTATCAGAGTTGGTTTTGCAACAATCACTATCCTGATTTAGAGATGTGAACTGTTTAGTTTCCTTCATTGCTAACTTGATTTAGATGAAGAATTTTGCTATATGAACTGCTATTGCTATAATACACTAATACTTAGTTTCTGACCAGGTTGATGACAGATACAACCAATGCTTTGATGAAATCCACACAGTCGTATCTGCTTTCCATGCTGCAACTGAACTGGACCCTAAAGGCCATGCTCGTTTTGCACTACAGACAATCTCTTTCTTGTATAAGAACCTAAGGGAGAGGATCAGCAACCAAATTCTAGCTATGGGAGCAAGTTTTCACAGTGGAGGTACAAAGGGAAAGGAAAGATCTTTCCAAAACTCATTCATCCAGCAGCAATGGGCTCTACAGCTTAAGAAAAAAGAGTATCAATTATGGAGACCACCCCAGAGAGGATTACCTGAAAAATCAGTCTCAATTTTACGGGCATGGATGTTTCAAAATTTCCTTCATCCGTGAGCTTCCTTACCAGCTAACTTTTTCTTTTACATCTTTCTTCAGCTAACATTGATCTTGGGCTCAAGTTTTAATGAAAATACCATTCAATGAATATGACATGATGATCGAAACAGGCTAAATTTTCTGCATTTTGATTATTTTTATTTATTTCTAGGTACCCAAAAGATACAGAGAAACATTTACTTGCAGTGAAAAGCGGATTGACAAGAAGCCAGGTACCTACAGCTTATGTTGCATCTTTGGATGATTCAAATTTGTGTAGAATTTGTTAGATGCCTAGTTTTTATCCCATATATATTACGGTGCCTTAGTTTTTATCCCATACATATTACGGTTAATACTAAAGAAGATAGAAAATTCCATGTAGCATTATTTGTCCAAACACAATGTTGTTGAAATCACATGCAATATATATTTTGGTATGATCTTATTGTGTCCATGTCTGTTTTGGCACTTGAACAGGTCTCGAATTGGTTCATAAATGCCCGTGTTCGTCTGTGGAAACCTATGATAGAGGAAATGCACTCAGAGATGAACAAGAGAAAGGCCAAGGAAAATGCGGAGGGAACGGACAAGTTGAGAAGCCAGGTGAGCATTAACAATTAAAGATTCAAATAATGTCAATTGCAGCTAAAGGAAGGAAGAAACTACGAGCATTTTTGCCACAAGCGGCAATCAAGAGAGGATTTTGGAGGAAACAGAACCGCATCCTTATCAAGGTTGCAAATGTATATAATGCTCCTTATAGTTGGGAAATTAAAGGCTGCAAATGTGTTGGTAATTATCTCAGTGCTCTAGTAGTTTGTTTATTTATTTATTTTAAATTTTTTAAGATAATTTTGGGCAACTATAATTGTTTGAAACTGCCCTACAAGTTCTTAAGGAAGATGCAAAAAGTACACACCTAAGCTACCACCGGCATGGACAAGTCCTTTAGAGTTTAATGGTTTGTCCTCAGAGTTGGTCGAGAGTTCAATTTTCACCAACCACTTGAATATTTGCATTCAATTTTCACCAACCACTTGAATATTTGCATTTAATAGGTCATTGAAAGCTCAATTCTTATTAACCACTTGAATATTTGCATTTAATAGGTCATTGGTGCTTCTCCAACATATGGGTTGGCCCATTTTTCCTTTTCCCTTATAATTATCCTTGAAAAAAAAAAAAGGGGGTACCACCGGCATGTGGATGATAGAAAAATCGAAAAACAATAAGGTGTATTTAACGAGTATATACAACAAGCTATACCGTATATTCACCATTAATTGATGGCAAAATCTCATACAACAGGGTGTCCAAACCATCATTACTTGAAGCATTTCCAGTATCAGAATGCTCTAACTCTTATCAAAGCACTCCAACCGCCCGGAGAATCCTGGATTGGTTCCATCTGATTGCCTGCAAAACCTTTCAGAATGCTCTGTCGCAATAATTCTTAGTTTTGTTTTCGTCTCATAAACATTTTCCTGGAAAGTTGAATCCCATGCCTGATAGCTATAGGACTCGCTGAAATACCATAACGGCATAACCCAAGAAATGAGAGAAAATGAAGCATAAATTCCCCACCCCTTATTATCATTATTGCCTTTTTCCTAGTAGATGATTATTCCGAGGATTTACAGATAACATGGCCTCAACTAACGTTTGTGACAAATAAAAGAATGGCATATCTCTCCTCTGTCTATATATTACCTCCCCTTTTCTCTATCTACAACCCTTCTAATGATGCTCTCTTACGTCTCCAACTTATCAAAACATGTTACAAACATCTTACACATTATAATTTGTTCAAAAAGAAACTTGCCTTCCTCAGACTACAGTAGAGATTCTTGTTTTAATTGGTTTCAACTTCAACCCCATGCTTTCTGGTGAGAGAAGCTCGGGAGAGATGCAAGAGGGACTCAAAGGGCTTCTCGGGCTGACACTTAAAGTTGGTCTGCATAAGCCGTATCCCATGAGAAAGTACTCTATAGGTATCAACATGGCATGGGGCTGCTCTTCCGTTACCATCGATCCACATGCTTGAACCTGTAGTAGGTTCCCAAAACTCCTGGGTAACTAAATCTCACTTGGTATGATCTTGCAAGACTTAAATATCATGCAGGCATAGATTATATTTACATACCTCAACTAAGGCACTATATCTTCTATCTACTTTTGATGTCATGTAAAGAGCCTCAGAATGGAATGGGGAGTTCTCTCCAACAAATATTAGAGAGCGGCAATGCAAGCTTCTCAATCCTTCGGTAAGGTCAGGTCTCCTGCCAGACAGCAGATATGCAGATATTATATTGTGAGTGAAAAGCTGTAAATGAATCTGTACACATGCATTACGTCATTTAAGACATGCTTTTCTGGGAAAGCAATCCACCAATTAAGTACACTGAAGGAAATTGACCCATGCCATGGATGACATCCTTGTGACATAATCAACTTTAAAGATGCAAACATATACACTCTCATGTTCTCAAATTTGACTTGAATACCCAAAATCAGAGGCTGCAAGACTGCCTGGACAAACATCTTGTGGGCACATCAAAGCAGAAGGGACGCATGTAAGTGCATTAAAAGAATCATGGAGACTGGCATTACCCGTTAAGTGCTTCGAGAAATCGCCAAACATTTGTGCTTTGCCTTTCATCCAACAGCTGAATAGAAAAACACACAACATAAGAGAATTGCTTTGTGCTTGACAGCTCCCAAACTAGTCATATCATTATTCTAACAAGTCAGTGCAATATGAATAAGGATGGCTCTACATCATGCCAAAAAGGCTGGTGAAACACAACAGCCAGATTCAAATGGGACCATATGCCTAGAGATACATATTCCCAACAACTAGGTCCAGATTTTGCTCTAGCATATAATAAAAAAGAGGAAAACTGACAAAGAGTTTAGGGACTAACTCTTCGGCAAGCCTGAACTATATCTGATTCCAGTACTTGAGCACTACCACGAACTTCCTGCTATGGTCATTCACAACCAGATCAGATATTCAATCCAATTCTAACAGATATTGGAGGCATAAACTTGATGAATAAGATACCTTGCTAAAGTAACGCTTAAGCAACAAATCCTTCACCAATCCACACATGCCATAGAAGTAAAGTAAATTTGACATCACCTGCAAATGACATCAGGTCCCATATGTGAACATGATTATTTAACCTCAAATGAAAACCAAAAGGCTTAGAAAAGGAACCTTATTCAACAACCATTCTGTCCATGAAGGTTCTCTGCAGAGGGGTGAAACTAGTATTAATCCAAGGACCCGTTGCCTGTACTTCATCTATTGAGATAAATGGCAAGCTAGTAAATTGTAGAAGTAAAACACTATTTGGTATTTATTTGATAAAGGGATAAGAAAAGAATGTGCCCCATGAACAGGAGTTTACTTACTGCAAATAGGGTAAGAACATATGCTCCAGCTGTAACTCCCATGCACATGACAGCACCAAGCCTAGGTCAAAAAGTATGAAGAGGAAGAAAGACAAGTTCATAAGGTCACGGCCCTTGACTCCATTACAAATAATTAAGTACATGATATGAACATGATTAAAAAACAGCAGCCTTGGACCTTCTATACAAGTAGTGTTGCCTTCTTTTCTTTTTTTTTTTGGATAAAATGTGGGGGAAAAAAGAGAGGCAACACTACTCCATTTTCATCTTTTTCAGGAAAAAAAAAAAAAGAATCAAAAGATAGATTTTGGTAAAGCAAATTCCTATAGAAAAAACAATTAAAATTTAAAAAATGAAAATGATGCTGTAATTACCCAAAATAGTTGAGAACCTCAACAACCTGATCAGCTAAGTCATCAACTGAAAGCAAATGGTGATTAGGATTGACTGGGGCAGCTCCCAACTGCAAATGCTCTTGAAGAAAAGACCGGATAAGAAAGATGTGAATTACAGGATTCAACAAATAAATTTTTAAAATGAGAATTGTAACAGAAGCATGCATGCATAAAAAAATTATAAGGAAAAGCAGGGGGTAGAAAGAAGAACTGACCTCATGCCCAGGAGGACTTATATGATATATGCAGAAGTTGTGAAGAAGTAAGGAACATGCTTCTGGACAAAAGAACAAGCCTTGAAAACAAGAGATATCTGCACATGCACAACAGAGAGAAAGCTTAAGCTAAAATCAGGTAGCTACAAGCACATAAAATTCTAGTTCAGATTAAAGCATCATTGACAAGATATGTACACTTTCTGATGAAAATGTGAATATGGGACCACAATTTCAGAATATATCTCATATTTTAGGAGACCTGTTGTATTGGAATAGCAATTTACATAACATATGGCGCTTAAAAGGGGGAGCGGGGAAGGGTGGAAGCCAATGTCAAATGCTAAGTAATGCAGAAGCACAAGCACAGCAAAAATTGAGAGTATAATCTAAAATGGCACTTCACGTACGATTTAAAGCTAAATCAGGATAGGTAACAAGGGCTGGCTTGTCTTGGTCTCCAAACACAGCAACAGAGACAGAACCAAAGTGAGTTTTAATAACGTACTCCTGCACATGAAAGCAATCAATTAGTCAGGTGAAACATATAGAAATATAGACAGAAAATAGAGCCCAAATGTTTAAAACAATCTGTCTAGAAAAATATAGCAGGTTGCCAAGCCCACACGATAAATCAACCATAGGAGTGGTGAACAAGGATTCAGGTGTCATTTTCTTTAAAAGGTAAAGCATTTCAGTCATACAAAAGCCAACTATATTTGCGGTGCGGCAATACCCTTTAAGGAGCTACTATTTTGCTTCTGCTGCCTATTAGATTCATTAGCATAGGAAACAGTAATTAAAATTTCACCCATAACAATATTTCCCAGTTCAATGATTTTTCTGAGACATAAACGATAAAATGAAACAGAAAAATAACTAAACATTATAAATTTCTCTAGAACACAAAATAAAATCACTAAAACTAGTTTCTAAATAATTTAATGAGGTCCTCTTGAATGGAAAATAAAAACCCCATATAAAGGTTGGTTATAATAATAGTGCCAAAACACTATAATTAATTAGAACATCAAACAAACATGTTTCAAATATCCCAACCATTTGCTCCCACATTAATCTATTTCCACCCATAAAATTTTCCAAAAATCAAAATTCAAAAGTGCTACAAAATTTTCCCTTCTTATATCCAAAAATCCACCGACAGTTAAACAAATTAAAATCAGCAAAGATAAGAATAAAGGATTAACAAGAGCAGTAATAATCCCACAAATAAACAAACATGATAACTAAGACAGAAATGCAACCAAAAGTCATGTAGATATTTCTGTTTTCCAAAAACAATCCAAGATTTTCATTAGCTTCCGAAACAAAACAAGTTACTCTCATCCTGCATTAAGCTAAACGAAGACAGTATTCTCTATTACTTTTCCTGCATTTTCCTAGTAACCAAACAAGTTGCCATCATCATCATTCTTCACCATCACATACAAACACACACATACAGCCAAAATGCAGGTTACCTTTCCGCCAAGAGAGATCGTTTCCATGTCAATGGAAACGGAACCGCTAGAATCCGCCATTTCCGTCTCCTTCCTCTCTCTCTATCTCTCTCTTTTTCTCCAGATTAGGAGACGTATTTGTGGAATCGCTTCAATGTCTTAAATACCAAATCTCCCTCTGTTTCTGATTTTCTCTCTCCATTTAAAAATGGAAATAAATAATTGAGTATTTAAATTGATATTATCCATTTCCATTTTTGAAAATATAAAAAATTTTAATTTTTTGACTCGCGTTTAACACGCTCACACTCATCGACGCTCAATTGCCAAAGAGAAACCCACGAGCGGGCCCTTAACTCGAGACTCGAGTTAACATAACTCGAGTTAGATAAAAGACCGACAGTTTTTCTATACTATCATTGCCCTTGTTGTTGCACGTTATTTGCCCGTTGACACATGTCCCATTAGAATAAAATTGCTAAGTCAATTAATAAATAATATATTACATTAGGTTTAAAAACAACCTATTCATCTAAGTGGAACTCAATTTTTTTTAAAAAAAATTTTTAATTTGAATCTTATAAATAAAAAAATAAAATAGTGAAAGAAATTCTCCCCAATAAGATCAGACACAACTTGATAAAAAATATATATATATTACATTAGGTTTGTTTTGTAGTAATCTCTCAATATTTGAGAGGAAAACTAAGTTCAATTAATTTGAAATTAAATTAAGTCGAATTTTATAAAAAAAATTAATTTTTTTTTTCATTTATAAAATTTAAATTCAAAATTTTATTTTCAAAAAATCAAATTCCATTTATTAGAAACAACAAATCATTGGTTCATCAAGTTTTATAAGCTAGTTGATTAGTATATTTAATATTTTAGCTGATATTAAAATTTAAATTACGGTAATATTGCGTAAACATTCTCTTTTTACTACCCTCAAATTGTTTAAAGAAATTAATAAATAAT